GTCGTGGTATTGAGGGTGGAAGAGAGCGCTGTACATTCCCCCCCCCCACCTACAATCCCTGCCGGTACGAGACTCGAACCCGCAACCTTTGGGTTCTCTAACCATTAGGCCACGACTTCCCCAGGAAGTATTTTGGCTGCTTTCATGCCATGCTTCATAATTTATGTCCCATATAAAGCACAAACTACATGTACTTTTCAAGATTTTATTCATTTTAATTACTTTTCAAGATTTTATTAATTGTTATGACTTTTTGAGATTTTAGTCAATTTCATGGCTTTTTATGGTTTTATTTTTTCATGAATTTTTGAGATTTTATTAATTTTTGAGATTTTATTATTTTTCATGACTTTTCCAGATTGTATTTATTTTCATGGCTTTTTATGGGGTTTTTTTCCCCATGAATGTTTTAGATTTTATTCAGTTTCATGAGTTTAAGATTTTATGAGTTTTTGAGATTGTATTATTTTCCATGACTTTTCAAGATTTTATTCATTTTCATGGCTTTTTATGGGGTTTTTTTCCCCATGAATTTTTTAGATTTTATTCAGTTTCATGAGTTTAAGATTTTATGAGTTTTTGAGATTGTATTATTTTCCATGACTTTTCAAGATTTTATTCATTTTCATGGCTTTTTATGGTTTTATTTTTTTTGCATACATTTTTGAGATTTTATTAATTTGAGATTTTATTTTCCATGACTTTTGGAATTTTTATTTATTTTAATGAGTTTTTGAGATTTTATTAATTTCTGTGCCTTTTTAAGATTTTATTGATTTTAATGAGTTTTTGAGATCTTATTAATTTTTTAGATTTTATTATTTTCCATGACTTTTCAAGATTTTATTCATTTTAATGAGTTTTTATTAAGTGCCATGAATTTTTAAGATTTTATTATTTTCCATGACTTCTCTAGATTTTATTAATTTCATGAGTTTTGAGATTTTATTAATTTCCGTAACTTTTTAAGACTTTATTAATTTTTGAGATTTTATTAATTTCCGTGTCTTTTCAAGATTTTATAAATTTTTGAGATTTTATTAATTTCCGTGTCTTTTCAAGATTTTATTAATTTTTGAGATTTTATTAATTTCTGTGTCTTTTCAAGATTTTATTAATTTTTGAGATTTTATTAATTTCCATGACTTTTCAAGATTTTATTGATTTTAATGAGTTTTTAAGATTTTATTAATTTCCAAGACTTTTCAAGATTTTATTGATTTTAATGAGTTTTTAAGATTTTATTAATTTCCAAGACTTTTCAAGATTTTATTGATTTTAATGAGTTTTTAAGATTTTATTAATTTCCAAGACTTTTCAAGATTTTATTGATTTTAATGAGTTTTTAAGATTTTATTATTTTCCATGACTTTTTTTTCTTATAATTTTTCGCAAATAAATGTAAAATAAAACATATAATATTTTAACAATATTTACTCTGCTCTTTGAGACAAACCATTTTCTGGCAGTTAAGTGCCTCCATTTATTTATTTTTATTTTACTACTAAACTGCATTAAAGTTAACATTTTCTCTGTCCTCCACAGCAGACGACTCTCACGTATGCGATGCTGCATCTTCCTCGCTGTCCTCCTCTTCCTCCTCGTGTCGCATGCGCTGCGTCATCTGCCACCGCGGCTTCAACTCCCGCAGCAACCTGCGCTCGCACATGCGCATCCACACACTGGACAAGCCCTTCGTGTGCCGCTTCTGCAGCCGCCGCTTCAGCCAGTCCTCCACGCTGCGCAACCACGTGCGTCTGCACACCGGCGAGCGCCCTTACAAGTGCACCGTCTGCCAGAGCGCCTACTCGCAGCTGGCCGGCCTGCGTGCGCATCAGAAGAGTGCGCGACACAGACCCGCAGGATCGAACCCGGAGCCTCCGCACGCTCCCCATCCCGCACTGCTGCGCCACGTCCCCACCATGGTGCTCTGAGAGCGCAGACGCAGACGGATCGAGTCCAGGAGCACGCACTTTAATCAGCACAAACCTGCGGCAATAAGAGCCACGGCTGGAACCACAGACTGGAGGATGATGATGATGATGATGAATGAATGATCACTGGATGCAGTGCATTTATTTTACAAAAAAGAGGTACAAAATCAAAATCAATCAATTAGGTGAGATTGTAAAAAGAAGAAGGGGGAAAAAAAATCAAAGCTAAATCAAATAAAAGAATAAAACAAAACAAAACCCCACTCTAACTAAATCCCTGTTCCCAGTAAACTGCCTACAAAACAAAAACAAACAAATAAATAAATAATTATTTCTTCAGCGCTCTATGCACCCTACATAATATATTCTAACTAATCAAACCAATGAGTGGTGCTAAGCGCTACAATGGTGTGATGGTATAAGGGTTCAGACATTCTTCACACTGAATGTGTTCCCATAGCGACCGCTTCACAGTGAAGTGAACCTATTAAAGAGACACACGCACACATAAACAAACACAAAAAACTTGCACACACACAATACATTGTACTTTAACTTGCGCAAGTCTGTCATTTGAATCTGTTTGTGTAATTCCAGTTTTCTCATGTAATTGTTTCTGTCTTGTTTCAAGACCCTAACATAAAGGAAAATGTCTTTGGGTGATGTGCTCTACCCTGGAAATCCTGAAAGAAGGGAGAACGTTATCCGCAGAAGTCAAGAGCTTATTGATCTGATGAAAAGCAACTTCGAAGCCACCAACAGTCTCATTGAGATTGTTAATGAGCACTTGCATTCATCCTTCAGCCCGATCACCCTGAACAAGAACGCCACTGTCAAGGAGAACTGTGATGTGATGATTGAACGTGTGAATCAGATCCAAGCAAAAGTTGAGGAGGTTGACGAGAAGCTGAAGAAGGAGCTGGAACCTACTGTGTATGAGAAACTACAACATATGTCTCTCAAAGACTTCAACAAACTTTCAGCTGTTGTTAAAGTTGCTATTAAATCAGTTTGCCAGATTGCAGCCGCAGTTATAGTGAAGTATCTAATGAAAAATATCATAATTCTGACAAACATAACATCCACATGTGCTAAAGTTGCAGTAGGGACATTTGCCTCCATTGTGTTAGGGGTGTTAATTGATGTGATTGTTTCAGCCATTGTAGGGCATGTTGAGCGTGCCAACCTCGAGTCAGCCCTGGCAGAGTACGAGGAGGCTTTGAAAACATTCAGGCCAGCATCTAAAGAATACGAGATGGCCATATACGAAGTCATGTTCATGCTTAAACACATGAAGAAGAAGTGAATACGCTTATACATTCATATCTGACCTTAAACTGTAGCAAGTCATAGGTTGCTGTTTTATTTATATTAATCTTTCCAGTTACAGAATACTCATTTCTTTCAGTCTGTAATTGAAAATTGCATGCAAATAACTTTGATTTATATGTTACACTTAAAAGCATGCAGAAATACATGGAATGGAGATGGATGGCATTGTTTGACTTGTGAAATGAAGGGAAAATGCTCAGAATCAGTTGGAAATAAATCACAACCGCATGATTTCTCTTCTTCAGTTATGGAAATGTAGAAATTAAAGCTGAAGCTCCAATCTCCTCCTGAAAGTCCCGTAAAAAGTGCGCTGGTGCCTCAATCATGATGTCACACTCCTGTTTTTATAGCATCAAATACCTAACTAAAACACATCCTTGACTATTCTGATTTGATTTCAGAGGAATTTTTGATCTTTTTTTAGACGTCTACAAAGGCATAGACACAGTGGAGCATGCTTTCATTTTTCGTTGTCTACAAAAATGTGGTTTTGGTGATTTTTTTTAAATAATGCCATCCTGGACACTTTATGCTAACAGTAACCGCTCACTGAAATGTAGTTTAGTTTAGTTTAGTTTTGGTAAGTCAGCCAGATCCAACCTTCAGATGGGTCTCAGGCAAGGATGCCCTGTCTCACCCTATCTTTTACTTCTTGTCGCCCAGATTTTCTCACATTATATTAATAAAAGTACCTTGAAAGGGATTCTCATTGCGTAAAGTGTTATAAAGATCAGCTAATAGCAGATCACACTGCTCTTTTCTTAAAAGATGCCCCTTGGGTCCCTCTCGCAATCAGCAATGAGGAAAAAGTCTCTAAAGCTTTGTCTTTTTTTTAAATTGTCTAAATGTGAGCTACTTTCAATTAAAGAATG